TAATATTTCTAACATCAGTTTTGAATGTAATGAACATATGCACTAAAATTGTTTCTAGAGCATGGCGTTATGAATCACTTTATAATTAGTTTAATTTTGCGTAGGGTTAGAGTTTTAAAAAAAAATATAATTTTACAGGATTTTCTCATCTGCCTGTTTTAAATATTGTATATCCTAGGTACCATCAAAATAACATTTAATTCTCTATTTTTGAGTATGATCGATGGGCGTAATTTGGATTATATTATAGAGTATATAACCTGACTTTGCTTTATATGTGTACCTATCAAAATCCGTTGGTCATTTTCACTTACTGGACCTAATGAGAAAAAACGAGCTTATACTTTGTTTTAATTTTTATATATTTTGTAATTTATTCATTTCACTTAATTAGCTGATAATGCTGTTCTGGGAAAATGCTTTAGTTTAAACTAAATCAGGCTGATTTTTCGAACACATGGAAGCATATATTTTTGTGGGCTTTGGTCATTTACAATTTTCACAAATACACTGTTGCAGCCAGTATATGAAAATAACACAGAGGTATTCTAATAGTCTCTCAATTGTGCGTGTTGCGAATGCAAACTTCACCATGCACCTTTCACTTTCACAGAATATCGGTAGAGCGTCCCCATTTTAGCCAGTGTGAACGATAACGCTGAACACTAGATTTAACTTGACGTAGACTGCACATATATCATTCCAACAGATGAAATATTATTGCCATTCCGCTATATTTTTGCGTTCTTTGTCATTTATTTATGTATTTATTTATATAAGGAATTGAATAAAACATACATTTAGTACGATTTATTCCTCTTAGATATGTTGTTATTTCAAACAAATTGCATGTCAAAACATTTTTCTGTTGTGTGAAGGTATTTCGATTCATTTTATTGAACTTCGAAGAAAGTGATTTAATTAAATTTACTTTAAAATTCAGTTAATGTCGACCACTGTTGCTCTATTATTGTATGTTGCTAAGCTCACCATATCTATACGAGTCTCACATTTAAACATCACAAACTAAAACAGTTTTGGTATGCGTTTAGTCAGAGCAATATTTTCAAAAATGCATAACGGATCTTCTGGGTCAGACTAGTTGTCTACATACAGAAGAAAAAATAACGTAGTTGCAACTTTTTTTATTTCATAAATAATGAAAAAGACAATCATGCAGTTTGTAACAATGGAAATGACAGTACTGTCAATGCAAATGATGAAGTCAACGAAATGTATACGAGACCTTGGGAAATCTTTATTGCTTTACTATACGTTTTACTATATGCCCAAATAAAAGGCCGAAAAGTCTTTCTGTAGCGGAAACTGCATTATATTCAAAGAAATAAAAAGCACCAACATATCCTTTTCTTTGTGTATTTTGAAAACGGTGTCAAAGGTCTACAACTTATGTAAATGTGATCATTTTAAAATACATCCAGTTATGTTTTACAATCATCACTATGTCGATTGATTACCGTGCTCGCGTGCTCCTAGCATATAACATAGAAACTGGTGCTGGCATCTGTTCAACCATGGAACTCCTTGACAACTCGAACAATGTTGGACACCAAAACTCTTGATGCTGTGGTCAGGAAGTAATAACTATTGATCTCTTTGTATGCTAGATGTTTGTCTAATATGGCAAAAGTGTTCCATCCCCAACACAATAATTAAGTAAAAGCAACAAATGCCTATGTATTTGAACCTTTCTTTACTACAAAAAAAAAAATAAAGCAGGGAATATATCACCAGTTCGTTTTTCCTGACAAAGGAGTTTTATCTTATAGTCGGTACACGTTAAATATAGTGTGTGAAGTTTAATATTTTTGTCATGACAAGATGCTACCATATCACTTTTTGATTCTACTTAGTCCAAAAAGCAAATTTAAATCTTGCGAAGTACCTTCTTTAACAGTTGGATACAATCGTGGGAACTTGTATCATTCTGCCTTCTGGAACATTTTTGTTTTTACTATTACTATAAATATTTCTTCGATTCGATTGCCCAAATTGCATTGGAAAAAAGTCACGTCTGTTGGATATGGCCAACTTGCTACATGGGGGATCATTACAAATAATAGTAAGGGTATGGCGAGGATGGGGGGCTTGCAGCGTGTACCCCATCCCATGAGAAGCATGGAGCGAAAAGACTCACTTTGTTTTGAAAAGAATGTACACATCTGCCGGTCTAGCAACTGACAAACTGACTGTTGGTCCCACAACATCTTTTGTTGCCGTAAACTAGCTCCGAGATAACGTTTCTTATTATGTGATACAATTCCGACTCTAAATAAAATATTTTTAAGTCTACAGTACTGTTTCAAATCAAATAATGCGAATATTTAGTCTCAAATATTTTAATTATTGTCTGGGACGATTTATTTTAACAGCAACAAATTACCAAAACTATATTTTTTTTCTCTATCAACCGTTTCTAATGGTAATGATTTAATAATGCATTTATCAAACGAACTGAATAATGTCCAGCCTTTGAAAACCTATATAAATATACACGTCATTGCAACTGAACATATGAGAATGGATGCATCCACCCACCCTCCTGCCCGTCCCTTACATTATCACGTACATTTAATTTCTATTGTGCGATTAGCTTTATAGTTTTAACCTACATGACTAACGATTTTTTTGTAAACACTATGTTACATAGCTAATTTTAGTATATAATTGTATAATTTGAGAATATTATATGTAGGTAAACATGTTTACATGTATTCGTGATCAGGACATTGGTTTTCCATTCCGGAAGTCCTAGTCTACCTGATGTTTGCAATGATCTGCACTTAAGATTTAGTAAAAAAAACTTGATCTTGTTTAAACCTTAGAATGCTCTGGAAATAATCTTTAGACCATCACCATGGTCCTTTTATTGTGTACGAGATATATAAATAAAGGTTGTTTATATTAGAGTTACTCAATTCCTATCTTCACACCTGAAGAGGAATAAGACTTTTAGTCATGTTCAATTTTAATTTGGGAGGATTTATATATTTAAAGTATTCATTGGAATTACAATGTGACCATTAAATAATTATTTTGGAACAAAATTACTATTTTGGGATTATTGTGAATTTATTGAGACAGTTTGGATTATAATCATTGTCATGCATCAATTATGTTATACACACACACACACACACACACACACACACACACATATATATATATATATATATATATATATATATATATATATATATATATATATATATATATATATGAATTGTCCTTCTACAATATGTACCAATATAGAGAGTGTGTTCTCTTCTAGATATTATTTTGATGAATAAAAAGGCTAATAAAATTTTCAATTTGATCAGTTTTAGTTGCTTTCTTACCTTCCGTCTGAAACTTAAAAGAAATTACCAGGGGATCAGAAAGTAAATATGTAACACACTCGCTTTGCATCTATTAGGTTCTTTATATAATCACTCATTCGAAAATGTTAATGTGCCTGTTGTCATCTTTCTGACATTGGTGGTTTCATCTAATTTCCTTCGGAACTTTTCACTTCAAAGACCACCTTAGGCAAAACATCAGGGCCATCAAGTGTACTTGTTAAGTAATGAAAATATGAGAACTATGAAGTGTATTTGTTAAGTAAGGAAACAAATGGATTTGCTAACTAATGAAAATAACCATCAAAGCAGTGAAAACATTCCTCAAGTGTTCTTGCTAAGTACTGACAATATTAGAGCCGTCAAGTATACTTGCTAAGTATTGAAAACATTAGAGCCGTCACGTGCACTTGATAAGTAATGAAAACATTAGAGCCGTCAAGTGTACTTGCTAAGTATTGAAAACATTAGAGCCGTCAAGTGCACTTGATAAGTAATGAAAACATTAGAGCCGTCACGTGCACTTGCTAAGTAATGAAAACATTAGAGCCGTCAAGTGTACTTGCTAACATTAGAGCCGTCAAGTGTACTTTATAAGTATTGAAAACATTAGAGCCGTCAAGTGCACTTGCTAAGTAATGAAAACATAAGAGCCGTCTAGTGTATTAGCTAAGTATTGAAAACAATATAGCCGTCAAGTGTACTTGTTAAGTAATCAAACCAGCAGTAGAGTCATCAAGTGAGCTTGTTAAGTAGCGAAATATTACAGCCGTTAAATGTACTTGTTAAATAGTGAAAACATTATAGTCAATAAGTGGGCTTATTAAGAAGTGAAAACATTAGTGTCAAATGTACTTGTTAGGTAGTGAAAAGGCCAGGACCGTAATTAGTACTTATTAGGTAGTGAACCATCGGAACTGCCAATTGTACTTGTTAGGTAGTGAAAACATCAAAGCCGTCAATGGTACTTGTTCAGTATTGAAAACTTCCTTGCAAGGAAAATTTAATGTTCAAAAGAATTAAAATCAGTAGAAAACGTAGCAATAAAGAACATTCATTAGTGTAGACTTATGATGTGGAATGGGATAAATTTATCATTTTTCCATTGTAAATTTTGTGTTCAGGGTGAGTATACATAGCTGTACCTTGGACATTATCCAGATCTATATTATCTGAATGATATTAGTCAAATCTAAAATTAGGTACCTGACATTATCCATATTCTGCATGACAATATCAGCATCTCTATAATTTATATATCTAATGATGTACCTGACATTAACAATATCTAAATTATGTACTTGACATTTTCCATATCTAAATATGTACCAGATATTATCCATATCTGAATTATATAGCCGACATAATCCATATCTAAATTATGTACCTGACATTAACCATATCCTAATTACGTGCCTGATATTATGCATATCTAAACTATGTACCTGATATTATTATCTCAGTTATGTACATGACGTTATCCATATCTATATTGTGTACCATTGAATTATCCATATCTAAAGCATGTACCTGACATTAACCATGTCTAAATAAGTACCTGATATTATCCATTTCTGAATTAAGTACCTTATATTATTATTATCTCAATTATGTAACTGATATTATTCATCTCTAAACCGCTCCGGTGGCCTAGTGTTTAGTGCGTCCGCCTCATATGCGGGACGTCTTGGGTTCTATCCCCGGTCTTTGGATACCAAAAACTTACACAATGACTGAAAAATTGTTAAACCTAAGTTAAAAATCATAATCACATTACATCCTTATCTAAATTATTTACCTGTTACTATCCATATCTTAATTATGTGATGTGATTATGATTTTTAACGTATCTTTTTAACAAGTTTGCAGTCGTATCGCTACGATGTCTGCAGTGTGGCAGTTTATAGTGATGTCTAGCAATGAGGCATCATGCCGCAGACATATAGCATGATGTCCCACCCAGTCACATTATCCTGACACCAAGCCGACCAGTCGTAACACTTAACACTAACCCCTTAATGCAGAGCGTCAAGCGAGTAAGCTGTTAGTACCATTTTTGTACGATTCTGGTAAGAATCGAAAGGGGATAAAACCCAGGGCCTCCAGCATTCGAGACGGACGCTATAACCACTAGGACACCGAAGCGGTTACTAAATTAGGTACATGACATTAACCATATTTAAATTATGTAATTGACATTATCTATATCTAAATATATACCTGATATTATCCATATCTGAGATATGTAACTGACATTTATCATATCTAAATTATGTAACTGACATTATCCATATCTAAATTATGTACCTAACATTATCCAGATCTAATTAATGTACCTGACATTATCCATATCTAAATTATGTATCTGACATTATCAATATCTAAATTATGTACCTGACATTATTCATATCTAAATTATGTACCTGACATTATCCATATCTAAATTATGTACCGGACTTTATAAATATCTAAATTATGTACTTGACATTAACAGTCTAAATTATATACCTGGCATCATCTATATCTAAATTATGTACCTGATAATATCCATATCTTCATTATGTACCTGACATTATCCATATCTAAATTATGTAATTGTCATGAACCGTGTCTAAATTTGTACCTGACACTATCCATATCTAAATTATGTACCTTGCATTATCCATATCTAAATTAAGCATCTGACATTCTTCATATCTAAATTATGTACCTTGCATTAACCATATCTAAATTATGTACCTGATGTTATCCATATCTAAATTATGTATCTGACATTATACATATCTACATTATGTACCTGACATTATCCATATCTAAATTATGTACCCGAGATTGACCATATCTAAATTATGTAACTGACATTATCCATATCTAAATTATGTACCTGACGTTATATATATCTAAATTCTGTACGTGACATTAACCGTGTCTAAATTATATACCTGACATTATCCATATCTAAATTATGTAATTGTCATTAACCGAGTCTAAATTTGTTCCTGACACTATCCATATCAAAATTATGTACCTTGCATTATCCATATCTAAGTTATGTATCTGACATTCTTCATATCTAAATTATGTACCTGACATTATCCATATCTAAATTATTTCCCTGACATTATCCATATCTAAATTATTTACCTGATATTATCCATATCTAAACTATGTACCTGACATTATCCATATCTAAATTATGTTCCTGTCATTAACCATATCTAAATTATGTACCTGATAATATCCATATCTAAATTATGCACCTGACATTATCCGTATCTAAATTATGTAATTGTCACTATCGATACTTTATTATATACTTGTCATTATCCATAACTAAATTCTATACTTGACATTATCCATATCTAACTGTCATTATTCGTATCTAAATTATGTACCTTGATATTATCCATATCTAAATTATGTGCCTGTCATTATTCATATCTAAATTATGTACCTGACATTAACCATATCTGAATTATATACCCGACGTTGCCCATTATCTAAATCTGGTACCTGACAAAATTAAGTTTGATCATGTACAAAATTTGATGTGGATTGTGTTGACAGGCTGAGAAATGTCTGCTTATATACAACCTTTTGCAATGAAATAATATTCACAATGCGTATCATCATAAACTGTGGACAAAAGCACATTCCAAATATAGATAACACGAACCCCATAAAATTTAATTTAAATGTAATCTCGAAAGTATTGATGTTGTACAGAGCGTTGGTCACAGACCGGTCCAGTTATCATATATCTCTTTTCCAGAAGCTTGTTTAGTGCCTAAAATAGAAAACAATATGATGTCAAAGTATACAAATAATGACAAAGAGGAAAACAACAACGGAAAAAAACAACATAAACAAGATTGAGAATAAAAAGTTCAGAAGAAAATAAAGAGATGAAAAGATAGTTTCCTGCATTTTTTATGAACTACTTACCCCAATCCCTCTTAGGAGGTCAATAAAATTCAAAATACACAATGCTTATCAACAAGTCCACAATATCGAGTCTTAAATTAGACCATATCATGAGCAAAGATTTAACATCATTATCCATACTAACGTTTTAAAATCATTTTCGGCCATTACATTTACCAATTATCAGTCAAATTGAAAAACACATATCTGGTACCAAACTTATTCCGGTCAAAGTCCTATCCGAATAGCACGCAACATAACGATGCTTATTCAATAACTGAGTGTAAAGTTTGAATCTGCAATCTAAGTCCAGTACATAAGCAGAGTTTTACAAATTGAGGTGAATGATAATGCCTCCTCAAAAGTCCTTGATTAAGTTAAATTATTAGTCATTATTTCGTCCATTACGATTATCGTCTGGTCTTATTCGTCGGTATATAGCTTCGAATTAAACTTTATTTTTTAAGACAATGTAATCTGCATATTGTAAACAGTAAATTAGAAACCACCTTCTTTATATTATATTATATTATATTATATTATATTATATTATATTATATTATATTATATTATATTATATATATATATATATATATATATATATATATATATATATATATATATATATATATATATATATATATATATATAAGCTCGAGTGGTTAGAGGAGGGTACGCCTCGGATGCGGGAGATCGTGGGTTCGATATCCGGTCGAGCCATACTGAAGACTTACAAAAATGTTACTAACAGCTGCCTCGCTTGACGCTCAGCATTAAGATGTTAGTGTTAGGACTTTTCGGTCTGGTGTCAGGATATTGTAACTGGGTTGGACATCATGCTACATGTCTGCGGCATGATGCCCCAGTGCTAGACATCACTATAAACTGCTACACTGCAGACATCGTAGCGATATGACTGAAAAATTGTTAAAGCTATGTTAAAAAACATGATATCACATCACATACATATATATATATATATATATATATATATATATATATATATATATATATATATATATATATATATATATATATAAATAAGAGCCTCGTTTACCTGGTAGGTATATAATGGTAATACCTAATGCAAATATGTATTACCTGAATTGTTTTTAACTTTGCTTGCCATCACGATATTAAGCAAGCTGTACATGCTTGTTTTTATTGCTTAACATATCCCCATCGTCTCTTCTTTTATATGAAAATGCAGTTATTTAATGATAAAGTGATTACTATCAGTATTTTACCTAGAATGTATACTGTATTAGTACTGTTCGGGGGTGATTTTCTCCTTGGCATTCGGTTGCAGCTGGACAATCTCCTCGTCCAGTTTGCTGAGAGTATTAGAAGACAGTTCTCCTTTTCCACTGTACGAGACCACGTGACTGTATGCCATCTGCTGGTTCTGGCGCTCCCAGCTGTGATGCCGTCCATAAGCAAAGTATAAAACTAGCCCTGAAGGAGTCAAATATACTCTATTATATGATAGTGAGACTTCATGATGCCATGGTTTACTTTTGGTGAATTCAGGTCAGAGCCGCACGCGTGTCCATATAGCTCAAAAGCCCCTATTAAAATCTATTTGTGTGGATTGATTGCGCGAGTCCAGTTGCAGTATTTATGGTTGGAGACTAGTAAATTATTTTTTTCCCTATCCTAATTCATGTATATTTTTCACAAATAAGGAGGCAGAACTAATTAAAATTAAGATAGCAATAAGAATAATAATTATTAACATTACTATTTCGAAGAATTCTTACAACTCTAACAATGATAGGTACACCAACGAAAACAGATTTGGGACATGGTATTGACCGAACCTAGTAAGGAGTGCATGATAGTGTTGTATCAATGCTACGCGGCTAACGTCTCCCCAAATGGGCGGTCAATATATAAGATTATATCGAATAGAATAACACTAGGGAACATATAAAAACATTACTATCAACTACGAGATGGTAAATAATACACACAACATACGCTTTCCCCAATTTAGTTTAGTTATATTATTGCTTTTTGCATTGATTTCTATTTTTCTTTCCCATTCTCCATAACAACTAAAGATAGAAAACTCGATACGGGATAAGGAGATTTCCCTTTGTGATGAATTATGTCCCCTACCAGACTATTTTTATGTTCATTTTATATATAGCCATATTAAAGACAATTTGATCAAAGATTCGATCCTTAGCAACGGAGTCCGAACAATAACATATGGCTAACATATAAAACATTATAGCAACAAACATATAGCAAACTCCAAACATTGATGATGCTTGGCAAAGATCACTGATTAAAGTGAAATTTTTGTTACCGTTTGTGCAGCTCCCTAAACTAGTTTGTGTGTGTGTGTGTATGTGTGTGTATGTGTGTATGTATATACATATACATACACACACAAACTAGTTTTGGGAGCTGCACAAACGGTAACAAAAATTTTATCTAAATTCTATTTTTTATTTCACAACGCACAATATCACAACTAATGGAACAGCATACATATATGAAAAAAAAAAACATTTAACCTTTTGGCAAGAGGGGGTCCTCTCTATGATGGAAAGAGGAACCGAACCAATATTTAGGTAAATTATAAAATGGAATAAACGAGAAAGGACTGTCCCATCATCGGCAGGTGCCATTTATTGATGCTATGGTAGTAAATATAGTGTAGAGTTACAGGCAATGTTGCCTAAAATCAAGATTTGACTGGCCTAAGGAGGTGTGGTAAAAATAGTTTCCTGTATTATATGCCTGAGCTGCACAGTTTCAAGGCATGAAATACTAGCAGT